ATCCTGAAAATGTTATGCTTATTGATCTCTGTAAAAGCATGCATATGAAATTCTTCAAACTCCACTGTAGGCATGCAAACATAACTAGTTTACATTTACATGTCTACCAACTCTAGACAAGCTATCAACCAACAACACATCCTTAAAACAAATGTTTATCTATCTAAGGAAACCAATATTGTAAAGGAAAGCATAATGTTTATCTAGTATGATAGCAAATCAGTGACAATAGCTTCAATAATACACTAGACAAGGGCTGACCTTAGATGACCTTCAGGTCAATGATGTGACTCACTTCTTCACCTGCCAGGGTACACTTTAAAAACTTCAAATTTCTACCACAAAGGAAAGGATATACTACATCAATCAGCCGGGTATTTAGCAACAAAATACAGATACATTATTTAGGAAATAAAACTTAATATTTCAAATACAAAACCTTAACAACTTAGATAGTATTAAAACAGTGAAACTTTAAGTGTCACAGAGGACCACTTTTATACATCTTTCAGTAGTCTACTACATCAAAGTACCTTTAAATTTTATTGTTCCTTCTAATTCTATAATATATCAGCTTAACAGAGACGCAAATCATCAAATCAACTAAAAAGAAAGAGAGAGAGAAAAGTTTTCGATAAAAATTCAGTGACTCCAAAAAACGACGAAAACCACCATTTTAAACAGAGATACATGTCTTTGATAAGATTTATTGTAGATATGCTTTTATGTAGACAGAGCACATCTTATCTGTAGTATGTTTTTCATTAGTTTAAGAGTGAGAGACATCATATTACCAAAGATGTACTGCTGTTTATCAATATGTTGTACATCATCATATTACCCACACAAAGTCTTTAATTCATGTGTATACACAAGCATGAATCAATTTGTCGTGTATGGAGGTCTACATAAAAAAAGCCTTTGTGCACACCTGATTACTGCGATTACGTTGAAAGGTATTGACATTAAAGGTCTACCATTCTGTCCTGGATAAGCGATTGGTGTATCTCACAAGACAGCATGATGCTGTGTTTAATGGTGTGAATCTGCTCAATAAACTTATATGCAGTCTGTAAAATACTGCTCAGGGATTTACATGGAGAATAATATCAGGAAGGTTATATTAGTACAGTAGGTGGGGGTATTGACTACAGTCCAGTGTTATAAATATACAGTCTAATGTTATAAATATACAGTCTAATGTTATATATATACAGTCTAATGTTATATATATATATACATTCAAGTGTTATATATAAACTGTATACCATAGTCCAGTGTCATATATATACTGTATACCATACTCCAGTGTTATATATATATACTGTATACCATAGTCCAGTGTTATATATATATATACTGTATACCATAGTCCAGTGTTACATATATATATTGTATACCATAGTCCAGTGTCATATATATACTGAATACCATAGTCCAGTGTTATAAATATACAGTCTAATGTTATATATATACAGTCAAGTGTTATATATATATATACTGTATACCATAGTCCAGTGTTATATATATATACTAAATACCATAGTCCAGTGTTATATATATATTGTATACCATAGTCCAGTGTTATATATATACTGTATACCATAGTCCAGTGTTATATATATATATATATATATATATACTGTATACCATAGTCCAGTGTTATATATATACTGTATACTACAGTCCAGTGTTATATATATATACTGTATACTACAGGTTAGGGGTATTTACTGTATACTACAGTCCAGTGTTATATATATATTATACTGTATACCATAGTCCAGTGTTATATATATACTGTATACTACAGGTTAGGGGTATTTACTGTATACTACAGTCCAGTGTTATATATATATTATACTGTATACCATAGTCCAGTGTTATATATATACTGTATACTACAGGTTAGGGGTATTTACTGTATACTACAGTCCAGTGTTATATATATATTATACTGTATACCATAGTCCAGTGTTATATATATACTGTATACTACAGGTTAGGGGTATTTACTGTATACTACAGTCCAGTGTTATATATATATTATACTGTATACCATAGTCCAGTGTTATATATATACTGTATACTACAGTCCAGTGTTATATAATATACTGTACAGGGTTGCCAACTCTCACGGCGTGAGACAAAATCTCACGCATTCGTCATGCTGAGAAGACCTTACTCATGCATAATCATGTCTCACGCCACGTGAGCCATAAATCTCACGCATTCGAAAATATTCTCCCTCTATCCCACGCAAAGCCATAAATCGGCAATTTTTAGCTTTGGTTGACAAAGGGGATTAACTCTTATTGCAACGTTGTGCTTTGGAAGTGAGCTGACGCGAGGTGTCGCTTTACATCCGGTGGAAACGAATGTAGATATATCGTAAGGTGAGTTGTTTTCACAATCGTCTGCTGGATAACCAAACTACTCGGTAGTGAAGCGGACATAAAACCTATCAATCAATCAATCAAGGTGTTTTCACTCGTAAACTTAATATTGAACGTACCTATCGCACAGAAAAAGAAAGTTTTACTAATAATATCGCAGTGTATTAGGAAAGATTGTTTTTAGGTCGTGCCTTCACGAATATTAAGAGAAAACGATTCTTGAATCACGAACAGACAGTCGCTAATGGCTGATGAAAAGTTCGAAGTTATTTTTTGCAGTAAAGTGGCGTATATGATTTAACACACCAGAGACTTGTAGTAATAAACAATTTTAATCTGATGCGATGAAAAAATAATGAGTTTCGGGAAGTGATTTGGCATGTTGGATAGACATAATACGTAGGTAGTCCAATACATAATCATGCAACAAATCGGATTGCAAACGTTGTATAAATGCTAAGGGTCTAACTGTTATTTATTGCTTAGGATAGAAGCCAGAAGTAATTGTAAAATATTTTTCCACTGTCAAATTATCATATTTATCTTTCATGTTATCAACTTTTTCATGTTACTATGGTAAAGTTCTTACTTTTGATATGAACTGTTATTTTTTAACAGGTCATGGAAATACAGAAAAAAAAGACTGGTACCTGTTCTAGCCAAGGGTGGAATCGTTACAAGAAAGGCCTTTGATTATATATTGTGTTGCATTTCCAATGCCAGTTTTTTTTGAGTGATAAATAAAAATCTTTCATATATCTGCAAAAAATGTTTTGTTTTGATTTCCTACAATGATCTTGAATCGAAAATATCAACAATGCAGATGTTATAGTAGTCAGAGAAAGCCAGGATTTGTTCGATACATTTGTAAATGTTATCTAAACACCCAAAACGATGTAACGCCGCGACGCCGTCAAAAGTCTCACACATTGTAAAACCCTGTGGAGGGAGATCTCCCACACTGGACTCCTAAGAGGTTGGCAACCCTGACTGTATACCAGTCCAGTGCATATATATACTGTATACCTTAGTCCAGTGTCATATATATACTGTATACCATAGTCCAGTGTTATATATATATACTAAATACCATAGTCCAGTGTTAAATATATACTGTATACCATAGTCCAGTGTTATATATATATACTAAATACCATAGTCCAGCGTTATATATATACTGTATACCATAGTCCAGTGTTATATATATATACTGTATACCGTAGTCCAGTGTTATATATATACTGTATACCATAATCCAGTGTTATATACATACTGTATACCATAATCCAGTGTTATATATATACTGTATACCATAGTCCAGTGTTATATATATACTGTATACCATAGTCCAGTGTTATATATATTCTGTATACCTTAGTCCAGTGTCATATATAAACTGTATACCATAGTCCAGTGGTACCAGTGTTATATATATACTGTATACTACAGTCCAGTGTTATATATATACTGTATACCATAGTCCAGTGTTATATATATACTGTATACCATGCATAGTCCAGTGTTATACATATGTACTGTATACCATAGTCCAGTGTTTTATATATATACTGTATACCATAGTCCAGTGTTATATATATACTGTATACCATAGTCCAGTGTTATATATATACTGTATACTACAGTCCAGTGTTATATATATATACTGTATACTACAGTCCAGTGTTATATATATATACTGTATACTACAGTCCAGTGTTATATATATATATACTGTATACTACAGTCCAGTGTTATATATATAATGTATACCATAGTCCAGTGTTATATATATATATACTGTATACTACAGTCCAGTGTTATATATATATACTGTATACCGCAGTCCAGTGTTATATATATAATGTATACCATAGGTATACTACAGGTTAGGGGTATTTACTGTATACTACAGTTCAGTGTTATATATATATTATACGGTATACCATAGTCCAGTGTTACATATATATATTGTATACCATAGTCCAGTGTCATATATATACTGAATACCATAGTCCAGTGTTATATTTATATACTGTATACTACAGTCCAGTGTTAATATATACTGTATACTACAGTCCAGGGTTATATATATATTCTGTATACCATAGTCCAGTTTTATATATACTGTATACTACAGGCCAGTGTTATATATATATACTAAATACCATAGTCCAGTGTTATATATATATACTGTATACTACAGTCCCGTGTCATATATATACTGTATACTACAAGTTAGGGGTGTTTACTGTATACTACAGTGCACCTTTGGGGATTACTTTTCAGTGTATGAGGGTGTTAATATTTGGTTACCATACCAAGGATACAAGAAGGAAATGATACAGAGAAGAGGTGTCAACATCCTACCTACATAAACACACATTACAAATTACCCCCCCCCCCTCTCTCTTTGAAACACTTGCACTTTAGGTCAATCCCCAACTCAACTCAATACACTGTGAACTTACATCTATTCTCCATCCTCCCCTCAGTTCTGTTGCTAATTTTCATACCTCATTACCTGGTAATACACATACCCTCCAGTGAACCAATACACAACAATAGCACTGTAAACACAGCTGACACACACACAACAGTTCCTACCTTGGCTCTTTGACCGGCACCTTCCCTCCTACCCCTCGTGTTGTTCCTAGGATGGGGCGTTGTTTGGTAGGGGGTGGGGACTGGTTGTCAGGTAGCTGAAATAAAGAGGACACATATAAATCCCTGTGCACTGAGGTGCTAGCTGTAGCAGAAGACTTTTTGCTGTTCGACAGCCATAACATTTTTACATGGTAGTCCCATGCCTGTAACTGCCAGTCGACTCCATGCTATAGCGAGAGCCTGACCTAGTCGCGTTCACTGTGTGGGAGTGGGGGAGTGCAGGACGCAGTCTAGTTAGCACTATTTACACACTATATAGTCTATGCTCTTACTACAAATCCTGCATTCCACAATGCTCTGATACAACTAGTCCACACACTGTTTCAATAACACAGATTCTCCACAATGTTATTAGGATTTCACACCTGAGCGCTTTGTATACAACCATTTTTTTTCAAAGTCGTTCGACGCTTTTTACATATCATTGGTGGTTTTGTGTTAGATAAAATCTTATGTAACTCATACAGTGCTCCTGGCACTCAATTTCAGAGGAAGTCATCTATATAAAGAAGAACACCCACCTTATCTATACATGTACCCTCTATCAGAACATGAAAGGTTAATTGTATTATTTAGAACAGATAATGCTCATGATCAAACATCTATATAGCTTTTTATAAAGTAAGTGAGCCCCGGTAATTCCGTCTACTGTATACCCCTCGTCTAGGTTACAACAGTATGATTCACTAGTCGTCTGGAGAACAATCTTGTGTACAGTATTATCTATAGATGTTTATAATGTCAATCTCTGCCTAATTGATGTACTTGTCTCAAGTGATTTCACTCCTGGAAGCACTGAACGGGTTTATTATTTGATAAATGAGGGAGAGTCTTTATTTATAAGCTAAACTATTTTTTCTTTTTTTTATCGTAGTTTTCTTTTTTCACAATTCATATTAAGGCATTTTATCACACAATGTACTGTGTTATCCAGTGAATATGTCATATTATTTTGCATTTTAACTCATGTAATATGACCCATCAGCCCTTTGATTGGTTGCAAGTTTCAATTGTTTCATTGTGACGTCACGCCTAGGACAAGTACATGACGTCACAGGCTTACATAATGGAGTCAAAATGGTGGCTTTTTACATTTCAAGGTCGCATGAAAATTGTCGTTTACCATGAATAAATGCCACAAATCTTGATTATGTGATAAAAAGGATCATACACTCATTTAAGATCCTAAATGTATGAAAAAAAATAGAAAAAATTGTCACTACGAAAGTTAAATCTGCTTTATTTCTGTGAAATTCAAACTAACCCAAATAATGGAAGAGCAACATTTGACAACTGGTATCTGTTACCTAAGCTTTAAGTCCAGGTGTAGGTATCAATGTCTATTGTAACACAGGTGTACATACACTACAGGTGTTACAGCTACTTCACACTCATCTGTCAGTGAGGCACTCGGCCATCAACGAATTAAAGTCAATAAAAACAAATTTTAATGCCAATCGTACAGGAATTTTATGGCTTGAAGTTGAAGATATGTGAAACCACAGCCTGTACATATAACAGCAGGTTTTTCAAACACATATAATTAAACACATTTGTCTTTTACATTATTCTGCCAACTAGTATCATATCTAGCGATGTTTAGAAATAAATTTTACTGTTTGCCTACAAGTATTACATAAAGTTAAAAGTGAAAGACGTTCATTGTCATGGCAACAACTTCAATTTAAAACAGTTATATTTTGAAATACATTTAAGGGACATTTAAATATTCAGCAATTGTGGTAAAGATAGCTTCTGCTACAGGAGTTCAATGGCATGATCTTATCTGTCTCTGCTCAGATGAATGGTGTATATAGCAGTCAGAATTACACAAGTCATGATTGTGTCTCCAATCCCTGGAGACTGCCCACTACTAGTAAGTCAAAGCTGTTCTAGTCTGTCAGCAGACTTAACAAGTCGCCTCATTTGATAGACCTCCAATCAATACGAGACAAACAATGTGACACCCGCTAATCTCCCCTTCATAGAAAGAAACCCATCACCGATCATCCGGCTAATGAAATTATGCCTGTCCCCTAATGACATTTTTAATACCTCGATTATGTCTCGGATCATCATCTGTATGTGGGGATTGTTGTAAACGATACCGAGAGTACACACAAATTGTACACAATGCATAAAGGTGCTGAATTACCATAACATGATGCAAAGTCATTGTCATCAGTGTGCAAAATGTTAAATTTGCGACCGTGAACTCTCGTCTTTTTATAAAATGTGACCTTGACATAGGACCTATGATTTTATCATTTACAAGGGAAAAGATATTTAAAATTTCAGTGATCATTTATAAAGTATATAAATGTCTCTGATCTGACACAGGACTAACACCACCTATTAATTGAACACCTAACCATACATTTAGCAGTGCCCTGTTTGTAGCTTCACTCCTCACCAAAGATAAGATAGAGATTTGACACCTGTTAAACAGTTTCAATTAACTATTTTAAGAAATTTTCTGTAAATATAAAAATGAAGCCAATTTGTATGACTTCCCAAGACTGTGGCTATTCAACACTTGTACTGTATATTTTGTAAAAGTCTCCACACTCTATCGTTTCAAGGAACATAATCTACAGATGTGTGCAGTGTCATCAGACACAAAGTGTGACTGCCAGACCTTGGATGTCTGAAGTCTCCATAGTAGTGTCACCAGGAACAACACTATTGGGAGGGGGCATGTACACAACATTCTGAACATCACACTACTTGTAGAAAGCATATATCTGCAAGAGCCACGCTCATGATGAAAGTACAGATATCTAACCGTCACATCTGACAATCCTACCTTTGATTCAGCTGATACAAATCTCAACATGAAAATAAATTGAGAAGGAACAGTTTTAATTAAAACTGAAAACTTTCAGTGAGCGTGGTAAGATGTTATCAAGTGCATAGAATCAAATCTGTAATTAACGTTAAATTCATTTTCAAAAAAATATAGTCATAAAGTGCATTGATGCTTTTTCTAGTATTTCATTTATACAAAACGTAATATTACAAGAACAATGGTGATTGATTATACCTGATGATCATTTGAATAAGCTAAATTAACAGACAATTGATTGTTGATTTCATATTATTAGTATATAGAGATATCCTGCCAACAATGAAACCCATTTCCTTTTTACAAATGGTAGGAACAATATGTCATGGCAAAATTGAAGGCACGAAGATAGCTGTTTGATTGGTCTCAAGTAAAAACAAGTGGCCCATGGGCCTAAACGGTCACCTGAGTCCTACAGTATTTATTTTTGTTGTTGAAATATGTACCAATTTGAGTACAAAAAAGTTAAGTATAACGTTAACTTAAGTTTGTCAGGACCATGAGCTGATCATTCCTAGACCGTGTTTCAGTTAAATCGGCCTATTAGAACTTGTTTTCAAGTTTGAAATACTGTGTCGGCCATATTGGATTTCTGATCGACCCGAAAAATAACAACACTTTGTCAGGGCCATGAGCTGATCATTCCTAGACCGTATTTCAGTTAAATCGGCCTATTAGAACTTGTTTTCAAGTTTGAAATACTGTGTCGGCCATATTGGATTTCTGATCGACCTGAAAAATAACAACACTTTGTCAGGGCCATGAGGCGCTCATTCCTACAAAGTTTCAGTTAAATCGGCCTATTAGAACTTGTTTTCAAGTTTGAAATACTGTGTCGGCCATATTGGATTTCTGATCGACACGAAAAATAACAACACTTGGTCAGGGAGATGTCAGTATCCTTCCCATGAAATATTATTGAAATCCCTTTGCCAGTTTTTCAGCTTAAGTTGAAAATGTAAAATGTTAACTGACGACGGACAACGGACGAAGACGGATAGCAATAGGTCACTTGAGCTAAAGCGCAGGTGACCTAAAAACCTGACCAATCGCTAGGCTGATACATGTCCTTTGAAGATTACAAAGGAGGGATGCCCGACTTCAAAGCCTGTCAATTTTTACCGTTAGGTGACCGCCAGATTCTTTTGATGTACATCAAAGGATCGAACTAGTCTTCTTGTCTCATCAACAAGGTGGCGCACATCGAGCCTTCAATTTTGCCATGACATATTCCAGGGGTGTAGAGAGTGAAAGTAAGCGTAACCCCTGGATATTGAGGATGGTGCTACATGTACTAAGAGTTTGGAATAATGGCTAAAGTGAAATCAATCTGTAGTGACACAGATACACGTAACAGGAAATTCGGAAATGCACGAGACTGCATTGACCACCAGCAGAGGTCCACTTAGGTATTACGAAGAAAGGGGAGTGGGAGAAATCTTGTGAATAGATTACTGTTACTGATCATTGGTCAAATGAGATCAACAGATTTATATATTCCTTCAATGTAACACAGCCAATTCCCATCACAATATTAGTGTTACTTTCAGCAGCATTAATCATAAAAGATATTTAAACAAATTTACATTGCATTTTCTGGTCTGTAGGGGTTGAATACTCATCTTCCATTTGACTTTAACCAAAAGGAAACAGGTAATTGAAGTAGACTTAACAACTGAAAAAATGATATCCTGAGTGAAGTACTTAAGACCGAATAAAAAACATTTTCTTCATTTATTGGTAACTACAGATTTATCCGTTACCCTAACTACATTTACAGCTTAAAGTTCTGCTGTTTATGACCAAACATTAATTTGACAGAAAAACAGCCTTTCCACTGATAACACAGTAGCTTCAAAAGAGAGAGAGAGGAAATTAGATTTGAATATTATTGATTTTCTTCATTACCAGCAACTTTTTTCTCTCTAGTCTTGTAAGAGGGCATGTGTATCCAGATGACATGCAAATACTATTTTGAAGGAGTGCACAACATGACAACCCTAATATTCTGCAATTTAGTGAAGCATTAATAATGCTTGTTGTGATCGGCATGCTAAGCCAATACCTCGGGGTTATCAGAATGCCACGGGGGCTCCACTGTCATGATTAGCGTGCCTGCATGTACAGAATATGAAAATAGAAGTAAACTGCTTCGAAAGAATAAAAGTAACACAAATAACTAGGAATTCT